TGGATGGTTGGTTGGATGGATGGATGGATGGATGGATGGATGGATGGATGGATGGATGGATGGATGATGGATGGATGGATGGATGAATCAATGTATGGATGGATGGATGTATCAATGGATGGATGGATGAATCAATGGATGGATGGATGGATGGATGGAAGATGGATGGATGAATCAATGTATGGAGTATGGATGGATGTACATGTATGTATGATGGATGGATGGATGGATGGATGGATGGATGGATGGATGGATGGATGGATGGATGGATGGATGGATGAATCAATGTATGGATGTATGGATGGATGGATGGATGTATGGTTTGTGTCCTGCTGAAAGACCAAACCTCACCTGAGACCTAGTTTCCTGACTCTGGATTACACAATCTTTGCCAAATTGCCCCATGAGTTTCTTGCTTCATTATACCTTTGATACACTGAGCAGCTCCAGAACTAAAGGCAACAAAAACTCCTACAGCAATAAAGTTGTACGTTTTGGTTTGTTGCCCTTTTCCTAGTCAGTTGTATTTTATCTCCTGTAAACTAATTGTTGCACAACTTTCTTTCTCACATAGCTTCACAGAATATTATTCAGGAAAASCTGATGTTATTTTTTGTGAAAGTGATCAATAGTCTTTTCTTTAGTTTTATTTTGGCCTCACATATTTATCTCTTTTTTGGTCAAATGTGAAGCTTGTGATTTAATCTGAAATCACCTCATTGGCCTGCAGCTCTTTAGATGTTTTGCTTGTTTTGTTTTTTCCCCAAACGGCACCAATTTCATGAGGTTTCTTAATAGTGCCCCATGTTAAAAGAGTCATTGAAGCTATTTGAGGGTGAAACATTTTAACTTCCTTTGTTGTTAAAAAGGAACCTTGTAAATTTTGGAAATTGTTTTTATACTAGCCCGTCTAACGCTGTCAGGGTTAATGAAACGAAACCAGAAACACAATAAAACTTCTTTTTCTGCAATAAAACCAGCATTATTGATTAAAATAAAGTCACATATCCTCTGTAAATTAAACCCAAGGGAGATTTATCTGGTTTTATATTCTCTAAAGATTGAATTCAGATTCGTTACAAGGGGGCTGATAATTGTGTGCCACTTCCGTTGCTGATGATATTTTAAATCCTGCATTTAAGTTTCAGTGTTGACAATAACTCGAAGGGACACTATTGGTAGATAAAAAGAGAAATTGTTTTTAAAAAATTGTTGAAATTGCAAACAGCACCTCGGCAGAAGGAACTAAGCACACAGACGAGACTTTCTTTTTTTTCCTCTAAAGCTATAAAATGGTCTCCAAAGGTAGTTTGATCAAGCTGTGGCCACTGTATCATAATAATGAGTCTTTCTGCAGGCAGACTGATAAAAAGAAGTCTTTTACTCCTTTGGATTGACAAGTAGTAAAACATGCATACACATTTTCCCTCAGAGCGCCGCTTATTCAGGAATCAGGGCAGACTAGCCTACTAATCGGACTGAATTTTCATTATAGAGTCATTTCATTCAGAAGAACATTATATTCATATCCAAACTTCTRAGAAGGACAAGTTTTTTTTTCTTACATTTGGCTTTTTTTTTTSATAGAACTATAAAACTGGTCAAACTTTTTGCAGAGTCTGCCCAAGTCTTATGGAATGGTTTACTTTTAAACTTTCAACACTTAAACAGGGCTGATATTAGTCTTCTTTTTTTAAACTTGTTCTAACAAATATATTTTCTTTTGAGCACCGGGTCTGAATCAAAGTTTTGCAGAGTCATAAGTCCCGCCCCCACCCTATTTATGATTGGCTAATAGGCTTATCTAGTGTATTTAAAGTGACAGCAGAGTAATGTTTGCTTAATCTCTGAATGAACACATTTTCCCCCGTTGCCAGAGATCCAGCATGAGGCCAGATTGCTTTCAGCCCTGAACTTAAATCTCAGCTGAAGACCTTTTTTTATTTACTTTTGCTTTAAACAAAGCACAATATTTTAATAGCTTTTATTTACTTTAGCTGTTTTATGTGTTATTGTTCTTTTATTCTGGTTTAATTTGATTTTATAATTAATTTTGTTGTGTTCTCTTGCTTGTTTATACAGCCCTTCGGTCAACCACAGTTTGAAAATGTTATATCTATCTAATATATATATATATATATATATATATATTCACTGACATTGACAGAAACAGATGAAGTACATTTTAAATTTTAACTAGAAGGTTATGTTTGGTTGATCTTTTCACCAGCCAAACTAAGTAAATAATACATAAATAAAACATGTAATGAATAAAATATTACAAAACTGTGATTCAGACATCACTGGACAGAAAATCAAACAAACACGTGCAAAAAGTCCAGAAGGGGATTTTTTTAAAATGCATCCCCTGACACCACCAAGGTTGTTACCCTGTTTGTGAAAAAAATAAATGAATAAATAGTATGGAAAGAGTTTGAGATGGGACATGTTTTTGACAAGCAGCTGTCTTTTTCCACCACTTGCATTTGCTAATAACACACTGCTAATGCTAAAGTAATAAAGTTGTTTCTTAATTGATGCAGTTCTTTTCCATCTATGAGTACCATTTACAGTAAAAAAAAGTGATCCTGCGTTTGTTTCCGTTATAAACGTGTCGTTACAAAAGAATTACAAAGTGAACACCCACAGGTGAACCACACCTTTACTGCCTTTTAACAATCACCCAAACAGATCAATTAAACTGGTGCAACAAGCAAAAACAAAAATATTTTCAGCGAGCAGATTTAACACAATTTTGAATTACCATATGGCTCTTTGCAACCTTTGCTCCACTTGAGGGGTTTTCAGCAGCAGAACTTGTGTGAAGTAGATTTTATTCAATTAAATTCCACATCCCAACAGTGTGAACACTGACATTTATTGAAAAAGAAACAAGAAACAGGAATTAGTTTTAAATCTTGAAATGATTGCTGGTTTTAGTCTTTGTCAAGATAACTGTGATACATTTTTATCTCAAATGAGGATTGTTCATGTTTAAGTTGCTGTATGTTGAATTTTGTTTTGTTAAGAAGGGGCAGATATTATAGGATCCCTTTCTTCTTTCTGCATCCTTTTCATTCAATRATTGATTCATTTGGGTTTTTTATTGTTTGTTTGTTTTAATAGTTCTTGGTTATTGTTTTTAATGAAGTAAATCAAAGTTTATATCAGTTTTGTCTTTACTCAAGTAAACTCAACGTTTGGTCAGAATAGATTTATGAGTTCAATTAGACCTTTTTTGCAACATAAACTTTTTAAATGAGACAAAAATTTTAAGAAAAACTTTAATGATACTTTAGCTTGAAATGCCCGTTTATGGAAATCTTAGTTTTATAGTCGCTAACTTTCTTTATTTAAGGCCCTGTCACACTAGACAACTTATGCCAACTTATGAAGCATTTTTGTCTAAATTGATAATAAAAGTTGTATTTTTAATCAATTTGTTAGAATTACAGTATGAACACACCTAAAAGAAGCTTCCAGTTGATTTTTTTTAATTCCATCTTCAACGTGGATGTCTTTAAAGGACTATTTTTTTTCTTTTTGCATTAAATATACTTTAAAAGGGCAAAATTATGTGTTTCTCAGGTATACATTTAAAGACTATACCAT